TAATTTTTACCAACCTTCAGTTTCTGTATCGGTGAGTAGTGTGATATTCTTTAAGAGGGTTGTGAATAGTTCACAACTCGAACTCCCTTCAAAAGTTAGTAAAGGTCATCCTAAAATGCTAAACATATTATCTTTTGCTTGTCTCTTTGATTTTTATCTGTTATTTTAGAATGGACATTCCCGTATCTCTATTGGGCATTCTAAGGAATGCAAACCCTAAACTCTATTATTTCGCTTCCGCATTTAATTCATAATTTTATTACTTTATGAGTTTTAGGCCTTTACAGTCTAACTTATGTTTATTCCCAATTAGGGTGGAGGCAAATACCAAGCATTCAAAAACTCTTAAACGTGTATAAGTTGGTTGTCTCCGAAATAATAGTTCAAAAGTAGGTCCATAAGAAGGGTTCTTATTAATCAGATATATTATTTCAAGAATGAAATTACTCTAATACTTCAATTCAAGACCACTTGGAAATTTGAGTGCACTACCAATGTTCATTATTTATTGATGTTTCCTCTCTACTCTTACGTTGTGTTCATATGTTTTTGTATAATTTTTTTAACGGATAACTTCTTTTCTTAGATAAAAATATCTCATTTTAAATATTTTCTATTATTACTGCGAACAACTTTGATTTCGATGTTGAACTGTGTCTCCACGAAAATACAGAAACTCTATAAAGAAAAAACAGTCTATAATTTTAATATGAGCAAATAAATTCATATATATATATATATTAAAATCATCCATAATAGAAAGAAAGAAATGATACTCATCATTAAAAAAAATTATCGCAAGGGCTCCATATAATATCATAATTTATCGTAGCAAAATAATATTTAGATTCGTACTAACTAATAAAAAATAAAAATTTATACAACTTAACTAGTGGATAAATATAACAATTTCATGTTTCTTATCTTTTAAAGTATATACAAGAAAGTCCGACTTTGTAAGAACCCCAAAAATTTTAAAGGAAATAAATTACAAATTTAGTGCAGAAGCGAAATAAATAGTTAGAGTTTACATTCCTTACACAACAACTGAAAGTACCAAATAAGGCCTACGGGAATAACCCTTCTAAAGAACAATTAATAACCAAGAAAATAAATTAAAAGTAAACAACTAATATTCTACTCGCAATCCTCTTGTGGATCAGAATCTAGATCATGGTCCTCTTAATCTGAAATGGTTAATGAAAGAATGAGTTACATTAACTCAATAAGAATATCACACTACTCACCAACATAGAAATAAAGGTTAGTAGAAATTATAAAAATAACTAATGGAACTCTTAATTAAGCAAAATTATTTATTATAAATAAAATTATTTAACTTCTACTTACCGTAGCGAGATTTTCAAAAACAACTTATAGAGGCAATAACATAGCACATATTATAATTTCATATGCAATTGGTTGAAATAACAATTTTCTCTTTTATTAGCCTACTAGTATCTATGGGGGTCCATAGAGATATCCGCACAACGCGTGAACCATTTCCTTTAATATTTCTAATTAACAAGCCGTCCCCATACTTCGTTTGGTATGAGTGCCAAATTACTAAACCTCGA